ATCACGTAGGCGGTGAAGAACAAGAGTAAGAGGGAGGACTTTCGATTTCTATTTTGAAAAAAAAAAAAAGAGAATGGTCACGTTCCGTTCTGTCTGAGAGGAAAACACGAAGATAAAAGAAACGGACAGATCGCGCGCGATAAAATGTGAGACAGAGTAGAAATTAGAAGATCGAAGACAGTGAAGCGGTGGACAAGAAGAGAGATAAGTGATTGCACGGGGAAGAAGCGAGTCGAGGAGTGGAGAATGACAGAGGCGAAGAGACGACAAGACAACTTCTCTCGCGAGATCTCCGGGCTCGCCAGGCTTTATTTATACCCAAAGCTGCTATATTATTGGATCACCCCCGCCCGACACGTAAACGTGTCTTATGCGGGCTTACGTAGTCCGCCTTTCTATTTCGTGAATGCCCGACTTTTAAGTTCTTACTTACTCGGTGTCCCGAAAACGCACGAATAAAGGATTTTACTTCGATTGATATTTTATTAATTTCATAAACTATCGCGCGGGGTGGCTGGATCTGCTAAAATATTATGTATGTTTTTCAAAACTTTTGAAAGTTTTCAAAGTTTTCAAAAGTTTTGAAAAACATACATAATTGTAAAGAAAATAGAGCAATATACGAGACTAGAATAAGAAATTGTATGTGTGTGTTGTGACCCATAAGTGGTTAACATTTATCGTATTCGAATCACACAACATTGCAAAAGGTTTTCAAATTTATGGTGTAATTCCTGTCTGCTATCTATGCTATTGCAAGTTGTCGTCTCTGTATCATTTAGCAATATCTCGCGATTATAGAAATATCTAGTAATAATTTATTGTAGTATGATGTATATATATATATATATATGTGCTGCAAAAACTTTTTGACACTTATTCCAGATATAATCTCGATCTGATAACTCGCGGTGCTGCAAATTGTCTTATTAGTGAGGATGCGATACGTGTTCGGATCATAAAAGTCTCCATGGATCTCTGGTATAAATGCATCGCGGTAATAATCCGTGTTTTATGTTTTTTCTTACGTAGCTAACACGTAGGTAGCTTGAGAGTGTCGATGAACGCTCGGCATAACATGGCATCAATTTGTCGAGTTCGCTCAGAGGATAAAATCGAAAATTGGGGTCATACAGTAGTCGTAGAAACAAATTCACGAGGGCCAATATTTATGGAACTGTCAAAAGAATCCGATGACTTCCGGAACGCTTTAACTCCGCGCTTAGAATTCCAACCGCGTTGATATATTTGCCGACTATTTCCCATCGTCGTGAAGCAAGCGTGTGAGAAACACAGTTAGCGAGATGCGATTGTAAAATCATCAGCGACAACTTCGAGTGGCCTTTTAGTTGCGGATTATTATAATTAATGTGTCGCGTGTTGAATATTGATTGCAATCGCAATTTGCATATTTGTTCTTGATGAGTTCATTTTTATCTTTGATATTTTTTTATCAGTCAAACATATTTCTCCACTATATCTCAGTATGTCATAAAATATTATCGAATTATTTTTACTGATAGGTTGGTTATTAGTTACTCGTTAAGTCGGTGCAAAAGTTCACAAACGCGATGCATCGAGGAACGAGAAATTAATGTCGAGAATCAAAGCGGTAAAGACTCTGCGCTTCGATGTAAATTCATTGTCTCTCTCAGGAAAGCAGCGCGCAAATCTGCATTCTATGGATAGGGGAGGGGGGGGGGCGAATGTTTGGAGGCGACGCGTGGTTTCCACATCTCTTCGACATCCGGAAACTTCACAACAAAACACGCACGGGAGTATGAATATCGATAATGAATTCGACTCGATAAACGCGCACACTCTACCTGTATATTATCGCGCGGGCGTAAATGTTCTCTCAACAAATAGATCTGTGTCGCAAATCAATAAAGCAAATAAAGAGAAAGAGTAATATTGTAATATTGATACGCAACCGAGTTTTATTGCAATTATGCAAACTCCGCCGCGATTTACTATGTTGACCGTGTAAACATTTGAAAATACTGGAATATGATAGATAGATAGATTGCATGAATACTCTTCCCGACCACGTTTATCACTCGTATAATTCTCAGGTAAACCAGAAAGTAAATAATTGGGGACAATTGTTGTTGATTCATAGTAACGTGTAATCTTCGCAGAGAATAAATATTTGACAAATTATTAATTATTATTATTATATTAATTATATATGTGCGAGTTTACACGCATAAGCTTTATATTTAGTGCATATTTGATTAAGAACAGCAAAATAAAATTTATTTTTTCAATAATTCGACGTACTTTGTCCTATACCGCGCATAGTATATATATGTATTTTACAGTTCCTTTTCCCGTTTTGCTCGTATCCCTGTTAATTACGACATTTTTAAATTTGATATCGCGCGTAATACGCGGAAAATGCTCGATGTTCTCACGGCTGGTCAAGAAATTAGCCAGTGCGACGCGGCTTACCAAACGCGAAACAACGACGGAAGCTTCCAGAAATGCGAAACACGGTGGGAATTCGTGTAATCGGCCACGAGCCACGAAGTCGTAACCTGCCGTGCCATTGGCTATACGGGACAACTATGCACGTGTGTTGCACTCGAAAGAGAAAGAGAGAAAGCTGCTTCTTGGACGCGGCGCGTCCGATCCAGCTTATCTCTCGGTAGCACCGCTCTGGTCGTTAGCATCTATCTTGTTCACTCTCTCGCGTATATCCTACGTGTTTCCTAATGCGTTCCGTTGCACTCTGAAGTCTCCCTCACGTTTTCGGAGTCTCGCGTAATTCACAAAATTAAACGCGCAATAATTCTCAGAACATTTCTATAAAAATTAAAAGACACGCCGAAATTGTAACAGACTTAAAAAGTAGATGATAATTTTACACTCGAGCGTATTTCAAGATTTTACTCTCTGACAAATATCTCGGTAGGTAATTTATAAAAAACGCGACCGCGTAATTTATAATAAATTGCGACATTACGGATTGTCCATAGTAACGATATTATTATATTACGACATTATTGTTGTGCGCGCCGTCGTATTATTAAGAGATCTAAATCTACTGCAATGCAAGTCGAACTGGCAATCTTCACTCACACTTACGGTATTTACAATCAAAGCGACTTGATTTAATTCGACGATCTAAAATTGCTAAGTAACGCGAGCAATGCCATTGCGATAATCGCGATAATAGTAATAATCGTATAACGCGCGCGCCTATGATTTCAAAATCACAGGGATCACGAATTGTTGTAATCTTAGATGCGCGAGCGGATATTCTGAAATTTTATTATTACGCATTTTAAAGCAAATCGGTTTCAGATCGATATATTATATCGATCTTGGAAATTCATGCTCGGAAAGTAATTCCGAACGAGCGATATATTTCGTCGTGCAAGAGAATCAAAAGCTCAGATGATAAAATAACAAGAAATGGCAAGAAAACGCGGGTAATTACGAAATCGGAAAATATTATTTTAATTCCGAGATATAATCCACACGTAAACGAAACGAAATGAAACGGAACGAGAGAAGAAAATTGCCAAGGTAGAGCCCGTTAGAGAGAGAGCAAAAAGGAACTGTGAAACGCGGAGACAGATGCTTAACGATGGCACTAGGCGAGAGAGACCAAACACGCAGGACCAAATTCCGTGATAATTTTGTCTTGCCCGTCGCATACATTGTTTACGTAAGAGAAACACGAAGTATAGGTGCAGTAGATCACTCGAGCGAGTCTCATTTGCAACATCACGGACAGACTGCCGTATGCCAATGTTGCAAATCTCAGCAAACTTATTTCAAGTATTCTCAATGTGGTTGTAATTTAACTGCAACTATAATTAAATCGTGCTCTTGTCACAGTAAAAAATGTATTCAATAATTTTGTTGACGTTTTAGCATTAAATACAAAGAGAATCGATGTGCACAAAAATATCATGTCCGTCGCAACATTGTCACAATTTTACTTTTCGCCGATTATACAACTGCTTGTAACGTGAATTAAGAAATTAGGAGAGAGAAACTGGCAATTTAAATTTGCTTGATAATTTTAAGGGGAATCTGAAGTCGGTTACGAGTCCAGCGGCAGCACCAAAGTAGCAAATCTTACCGCGGATGAGCCATTATGCTCAAAGGCAGTGCGCCAGGCATTTCGTCGGGACATTGGCTGCTTTGAATTCAGATTGCGCGGCCATGCGGCCTCTGCGTTTTTGTTCTTCCTCTTTCGCAGGCAATTTATGCAATCTGGCCCGCGTCGTGCGTATATTTATAACCGCCGGTCCTTTGTGTGTTAATTTGCACGTTAGTACACGATCCTGCGCAGAGGAAAAGCCACGCATTTCTTCGACCTTTGGTCTGGCGCTGCGTCTTCGTTCGCAAATTTCCGATTCGATACGACACACAGATATTGTATGGAAAACATTGACGATAAAAAGCTGAAATTATTTGTTAAAAACTATATGTGAGATAAGTAAAATATACGTAAAATCTCAATTGTTTTTTTTTTTTAGAAAATCTGTTCTTTTTTTTTTTAATCAGCATATATTCCCGAGATTTTTATTTTCAATCTAGTTGTTTCGTTTTAAAAACTTTAAGATGCAACCGTTGGTCTTTAAAAGACCGGAAAGACGCGAGCAGTACGTGTAGAGAAAAATAACACAACAGAAAAAAGCTTGCGAGTTAGAGCGAATGATTGACTTTGATCTCTTCGTGATTTTTATAGAAGCATCTTGCGCGTCGCGTAGCTTGAAGTTTCACGGCTGTCGCGAGACTCTTCCGCAGAAATCCCGCAGAAATTGAAGCAATGCTGTCGAGAGACGGGAGGATTTCGCGCGAGATGCGGCTGCTTCCCCACGCATCTTGTTTCTTCTCTCGCACTTGATGGTGCGACGCACTCGCTCGAATAAAAAAATTCCACGAAGAGGAAGCCGCTCCCTCTCAAACTGGCCCCTAATTTCTTCCCCATAACTAAAGAGGCACACTTTATGACCGGCGGCTCTCTTTTTCTGTTGCAGCGTTGAAGGTGAAGCTCATGCTGAGGCGACCCATCAATCAGCTGGTTGCGCAAGGCATCATGCCACGTAAGTGTTAATCCGCTTGTTTATTACACCGTTTATACATTTTGTTTTCTTCGTTCCGCGCCGCGAAAAATTACACTTGCACGACTCGGGATTGTTGAACCTTTACCGATGGACGCGGAATTCTCGTGATTTTTGTTACAGTTGTTATTAAATATCATTGCTGGCTTAAGAAACATTATCTAATATTACTAACAAACTTGATCAATGAAATTTATATATTTGTTAGAATTTATGCAGGCAGAAGATCGCGTTCTTCCGTACATTATGTTTGAACATTGTGAGAAATTCACTAAGTGCTTTAGTGGCCAAATTGGCAAGATGACTGCACGAAATCCGGGAAGTGTGTGATTTGACTTCTGACCAAGATTGTTTTTTTGTTTGTTTTTTCTTTTTTCACAATAGTTTCTTCGTACTAATTCAGGAAGTAAAGACGTTTTTATATTACGAAAGACAAACTAGTATCTAAAAGAGTTTGGATTTTCGAATTGAATTTAATTCGAATTACAATATGTATTAATTTATATGTTAAAAAAATATTTCATACGTATCTGCAGCGTTGAGATCTTATAATTTCTCTTATAATTGAATGAATATTAAGAGATCTGTGTACGATCTGTACAACTTACATATTTGTTAGATTAATTATCTCAGTGAATTGTAAAATGTAGTAAAAAAATCTTTTAACGCGTAATATTTTAATGACAATAAGCGACTCTACTGCTTTTTTCTTCATTGCGCATCGTAGATGTGCTGAACTCTTATGATAGCGAAATAAATGAAGAGGCAAAAGTAAAAACATTCGCGTGCGCCGTCGTACCGCTACATCGTGTTCGTTCCCAAATTCTCCGATGTGATCAACGGTATAAGAGCAGCAGTGGTCTCTAGTTGCCTGGTAGATTTACGACGAGTACCAAATGTTTACCAGAAGGAGAGCACAGGGATCCAGTAATTATTTGGGTCACACCCTAAAATATTGCTCTTGTTACCGTTCGCGCGTTTATAGCACCCGGTATATATCGCTGGCTTGATGAAAATACGCAGTTTGATAGCCCTCGTTCGGCTTATATTTACGCGACGCCGCGTGTTGCATTTTCATGCCACGCGGGATTCATTCATCTGCAACCTCTGAGAGGCCTTCGAAATCGTCTCGTATACATCCGCGTTCGAGAATAACCAAAGCGTTTTTGCAAAAACCTGACCGATTTGTTTTATATTTTTCTCTCGTAAATTAACGCGTTTCTACGAAAAAAAAACAACTTTTTTTCAAACCAGGAAAGTCTCAGGCAATCGTTACTCATTCGTACTTTACTCAAAAAATATTTTGAATACGCAGTGAAAATTAAACAGGAAAGATTGGTCCAAATATCTAACGGGAATGAGTTCGCAAAATATTACGTTGTATTTACAATATTAAACACGTATGATAAGATATTAAAAATAAAACTTTGCTGCTTCGTTTCTGCAGTAATATATGTCAGAGACCGTACTTAATAATATATTATACTCTCATGCCGCATCGTTGCGCGGCATTGTGAATATAGCGGAGTACATAAACGCTTGCGTTTTTTCATTCGGAAAAATGTCAATTGTCAACGCGGAAATTGCCGAATTTTCTTGTTTTATACTCCTCCGAATATCTCAAGCTTAGCAAAACTACAGGAAACAACGTTTATTGCGGCAAATTAACGACGATTTTCAGACTATTCGTTTGAGTTTGATAGGCGTCGCAAAAGGACAATTTGGAAATACATGCGTTGTCAGGTCCACGACATCTCTCGCGTTTAAAAAAGAATAACAAGAGGTTACGAAATGGAAGTAAAAACGCTCGACGTCGTGCGACTCGACTGCAAAACACTTTTTTTTATTACATAAAGATACATATAAAGAATAAGTTGTATAAAAAGATATCGAGAAGGAAATACAAATAATAAAATTGCACCGCACACATTTCAGCACAGTGCAATATAGTATATTTTTCAACATATATGTAGCAGAGAAAGAAAATTACAAAAAAAAACGCTCTTTAATTTTTTCTTTTTTTTTTCACTTGGCCTCTCTGTATCTTCGCAAAAAGTACCGTAAATTCTTCGTAACGAGCCGAAAAGTAATATCCGAGGGAGCGTTGCATCTCTCGCGACGCGCATTACATCCACGATTAATCTCGCGCGCGAAGCCACTAAAAAAACTCGTCGACGATGAAAAAACCGACGCGGTGTTGTGCCCTGTCCACGAACGACGGCGACGGATGGAAACTTATGGCATGCGGTTAAAATACCAGAGCGCCAGTGTATTTTCACATTTCCGTTGCCACATCGGCGAACGCGAACGTGAACAGACGGGACGGACGGGACGTTGTAGGTGGTGCGTACATGCCTTTTATTCCTCGTAACGACACTCAACGTATCCGGTAATAGTGGTAGAAATCACGTTTTGGAGATCATTTATTCAACGACTTAATGCTATCGGGAAATATGCGGGAGCGGAGAGGATGTGTCACGTTCAACATGAAAATGGCGCCATGCGGACGTCTTTGAGAGTCATCATTCCGAAAATTAATGTTCGCAGCATGCTCCGCCACGTCGCATATCAGAAAAAATTCGGTCAACCGTTTTGAAGCAACTTCATTTAGTTAGGGAATATTTAGTTTAGAAATGTTATGAAAATAACTTAAAATGTATTATGGGTGAAATTGTTTTAATTTTTTTTTCAAAATTACTGACTTATAGTTTTTCCGTAGAAATTTTAAACACAAGAAGGGAAGATGCGTAATATTGTAAAATGTCGTCATTTTTATAAGTAATCGTACTAGAAAATAATAAATAAAAAAAAAAAAAAAAAATAAAAAAAATAAAAATAACAAATAAAAATAAATATAATGAAAACACGAATTGCTCGTGTAGCGTTGAAGACGCCACCGGCGTTTCACGAGCAACGAAAGCAACTGGAGCGGGCAAAAACGGGCGACTTGCTGAAGGCAAAGATCCAACAGAGACCGGGCAGGGATGAGCTGGTACGACAACACATCCTCGAGGATGTGGGTCATGTGGATCCAAGCCTGGCCGAGCGGCAACGGATGCTGAAGAAGGCCAGACTAGCCGATCAGCTCAACGATCAGCTCAGCCATCGACCCGGACCGCTCGAACTCATCCAGAAGAACATCCTTCATACTGAAGAGCCCATCGAAAGGGCGGTCAAAGGTATCTCTTCGATAACGTCAACCTTCATTCATGCACAAAGAGATTTAATTAATCATACAAGTAGTCCATAACAAAACTATTAGATACATATAAATCAAAAACAAAAATAGTAAAATTGTAATCAATGTTTTTTGTTTCATTAATTTATTTCTCATTAATTTATTTTTGTGATCTTAAAGTTGCTCACCAATACGTACAATTCTGTAATTACACGATTTTTCACATGTATAATAATTGAATCTTTTCTCTAGAGGGTCACATTCCCTTCAAGGCTACCTGCGAGGGACAAGTGACGAAACCCCAACATCCGGATCATTATATTACCTTCGAGGATGACTCCCAGAGTTCAGAAGGCGCACCCTCACCGCAACTGGAATCGCGATCGTCGGACGTCTTGGAAACCGCGGCGGCTTCTGCAGGCATCGTCACGGTTTCCCTCAGCATACCAACAACCGGTGGCGCCGTTGTAGTCTCGTCCACGTCACCGGTCTTTCAGCAGACGTCCTCGGAGTCAACAATACAAACCTTCGCCGAGCTTTGCAACAGCGTCGTAGGTACCCAATCGCAGCCAGGACAGCCGAGTCAACAACACACATCTACACAGGTAAATTCGACAGCAACAACGACAATCGCACAAGAGAGACTTAATTTTCCTTGATTTATAAGGGTTTATTTTTTCTTACTAAGACAATTACAACAGTTTTTCGAAGTTAATGTGTCTATAAAATATCTGCGCGGCAAATAAAAAAAAGTCCTAATCGAGTGTAACGAAGATTAATTATAACGACAACGACGACGACAATTCCGACATTTGTCGTCGCGCACAATTGACGATTCGTATCAATGACGATTGATAGCGGGACTTTGAAAAGCCACCAGGCAATACCCTGTCTTCGTTTTTAATAGGCTAGCCAGACGAATGGCCCATCGACTCTCCTACCATTGGCGCCGGCGCCGAGTCCTATGTCTTTGGGCTCGACGACGTCCAGCCTGAGTCCCTTGTCCAACATCTCGATAGCGTCGCCTCCGGCACCGCCGCCCGCAGCAATCACTCCGCGGCCTCAGCCGAGCCCGATAGCCGCCGCTGCAGCCGCTGCCGCCGCGGCCGCCACCACGTGCCAAAGGAGCGATGCTCCCGGGAAAGACAAGAACAGAAAGAAGTCGAAGACCAAAAGCCAACCCAAGACCCGCACGATCAAGTTCCACGAGTACAAAGTAAGTTCGCTTTTCAATTTATTGTGTCAACATTTCGGCGACGAGAACAACCGTGTCATTCTGTGTGACTTGCACAAACGAGAACAGTCTGAGACTTCATTATCCCTTCATTGCCGCCTCGCAGAATGATACTATTCGTTTTTTCGTGTCTGGAGGTATCGATAATAAAATCGAATTTATTACGCCCGAGAATATTATGTCTTCAGAATGGCTATTGAGATTCGTAATGAAAGATATTAAAGATGTTCTGAGAGCCTCCAAACTCTGACATCACTGTTTGTAATCGGCATTATATGTAATATATATAGACGTTAATATATTAAGTATAGTAACTTACACAATACGAAAGGTTTCTTAGCTCGCGCTATCTTACAGTGCACGTTTAGTTTAAAAAATTTTTATCGAAAATGAGCTATAACATAAGCGCCGATGCATATATGAAGTGCAAAGTATTTTTTGAATCGAGGCACGACCAAAGAGTGTATACAGAGGCGCGCGTTAATTATCGTGTATTCGGGACTACATCGGATGGCATTACAAATTAGTTTCCGTGGAGGAGTTGCGCGTCGGCCAGTGTGGGCTAACGGAGAGCCGCATTTCGGCGTGGCAACGAGCGAAGCAAAAAGACAAGATGAGCAAAAAGAGAATGACGCAGAAGCAAAAAAGAGAAGAACGAAGGATAGAAGGTAGTTGCGCCGAAGAGCAAGAAGAAGGTAAGATAAAAATGAGCACGGACGTGAATTCCGGCTCCCGTGAACCGGTAAGAAAAGTCCAATTCAGGGAGGGAGGGGCCTGGGAGTGGAGAAGGGAGGAACATTGGAGGGAGATCGTATCGGAGTGATTAACTCTCGCGATCTTTTCCCGAGAGGGGAACTCGGAGGGGCCTACCTCGTTAGCTCTGAGTAATTCGAACGCTAATTGCACTTAAGAGCGAGAAAGCCAGGAAGCGACAAGAGCGGATCTCCTCCCCCGGATCCTCCCCGATAGACGCCGGGCGAAGCTGAGCGGAACGGAGCCGTGCCAAACTTGCGCGCTCGGGCCCAAAACATCCAGAGATATGGCTTGGAGCTGGTGTGAAAGCAAGCCGAGAATGGGCGTGCAAATGAGAGCGCAGAAAACATCTTGATGTATCATTTATCACTCGGCACGGTCTGAACCGGAGCTACGTCACCTCATCTACCTTCTTCGACTCCTCTCTTTACGATGCACATCGGGCGCCAGACGGACAGTGATGTCAGGAAATATATCTCAAATCTGTTCGCGGATCAACGTTACGTAAAACAAGAGATGCACAAAGACGATTGCGCACATTTATTTCGGCTTGCGAATCGTTACGATTGCAAACATATGGTAAGGCGTGCTCATTATGGTAAGGCAATCATTTTTTTTGACTTACGTAATGATTCTTGCTGCAGGGTCCGCCAAACGCGCAAAAGACGCCAGTGTCATCTAGCACTTCCGGTCTCGGTGCCACACCACCCGGTGAAACTAGTTACGAGCTCCTTCTACAGCAACAGCAACTGTTTCTTCAGTGGCAACTCGAATGGCAGCACAAAGTACATACATAAGTTTTTCCAATAGAGATTTCTTTTTTCTCTTGTAAATGTATATGTTACAAGGGAAGGAGAGATAGAGATTGATGAATATTTTGTTTATTCAGTATCCGCAAATTATCTTGCCGGCCGCGCAGAAGCCACCATTGTCGCTCACAAGCAGCAACGCGAGCGACACTAGTAGTGTAAATGGGAACGCTACTAGCCCTACTCCTTCCAATTCCTCAAACAATCTTTCGGAACAGCCTCTGTTGAGGCCCTTAGGCAAGCTAGAAGATATGAAAGGTACGCCGAAATTGCATTGAATATAAAAACTGTGTCATATAGAACAGAAAATAACTTCAAATATCACGTTTGCAGTGAGTGATCTTAAGGTAGAATTGAAACGACGGAATCTGCCAGTGTCGGGATCAAAACCGCAGCTAATCGAGCGATTAAAACCCTTCACGGAGTCGTCAACCAGCAACTCAACTTCTAATTCTAACGGGCCGCACATAACGCACATGGGTCACATTTTGATGGACACTGGACCTGGTCTAGTAACGACAGACGAATCCAGCTTTCAAGCCAAAAGTCCGAGTTCTATTGTGAAAGACGAGCCGAATAGTCCGCGAACTGCGTCGCCTCACAACAGCGAACACGACGATCCGTCGAGTCCACCAGGTAAGAAAAAACGTCATCAGTTATCTCTTTTGTTAGTTAAGCGTCAATTCAAGTGTTTTGTCTATTCGTGTAAAAAGTCAATAGGACTTTCGAGCAAGATCTTTGATTCAAAAGACAGCACACGTGGGTGTTTTTACGACATAGTTCGTGTTTCAGGAGATGATATCATCAAAGTTCAGAGAAAACGGATAGAGGAATTACAGCGTGAACTATACAAGTCACAGCAGCAACTCCAGCAGATTCGCCAGACACAGCCTGCGACGGTGCGTGCCGAGAAATTGATGCTTCAACAACATATACAGAACAAAATGCAGCAACAACAACTGGCGCTACATTTGCAACAGCTTCAACATCTGCAGCAGCAGCAACAGCAGCAGCAGCAACAACAACAACAACAACAGCAGCAGCAGCAGCAGCAGCAGCAAAATCAACAACAAACACAACAGCAACACGCCACAATTCAGCAACTCAACGCAAAGGCAAGTCTCGCGGCTTTTTTACAAGCGCAACCGAACAATGCAACCGCCATTCTTGACTCTGCAACTCTGACCGCGATCAACAATAAGAAGAATCAGTCCAAGAACAGTACCACAGTGCAAATACCTACGGCAATCGTTCTAAATCTGGCAAAACCAACCAAGCTGAACGGTTCGCTGCTCAGTGCTCTTGTAGCACAAGCGCAAGCTCAACAGCAACAACAAACAACTAGTAGCACTATTTCTGAGGACGTTAAACCGCCGCCACCGCAATATGACGAAGCCGCTAAGTTATTGAAGGTAATTAAATTATGCTTCTTTATTATAATGTTGCAAAACAATATGACAATAAAATGAGTTTTAAAACATTATATAATTATCTCTCATATTGTTCATGTATATGGTTTATTTATATAAAGGTGAAAATTGAGCCGGTCCAGAAGAGTCATATAAAAAGTCAAGTTGTCGACGACGTGTTGGAGATACTTATCAAAAACGGTGAACTTCCACCAAGCGCCGCACAAGATCCGGCTACTCCCACGACTCCGAATCGCCAACTGCAACAGAATTTGGTTTTTACCGCGCCAGCAGACAGTCCGACTCAGTCATTGGTTTTCACGGCCGCCAGTCCGATAAGTCCGATCAGCCCGATACCGATGGAAGTGTCCCAGAGCGGTTGTCCAAGCCCGTCCACGCCGGCTCCGCCGCCACCACCGCCGTTACCGTTAACAACATTCTCCATTCAGTTACCCAGTGCACTACAACAATTACAGCAACAAGAAGAGATCTCGTCTTTCAGCACGGATCTTTTATCTTCTGAGGCCGAGTTGGACGCCACGATGTTGCTCAGTCCTGAATCGGCGCAACAAGCGTCTCCCGATCCTCAGCCACCACAAGAAGTGACATCTTCAGACAATGCAAATTTAGATCTCAAAGTAAGTTTTTTTTTATATATAGAGAAGACAAAAAAGTGATTTATTAAAAATAATATTTGTAATTTTTTAGGAATTAGGATTGGATTTGGAAACGTTAGATCCGATGGATTTCGGCCAACTGGAGTGTGATGTGCCAATGGACATGGACGATCCTGATTGGCTGGATTCTTTAATGCCGCAATCGCCACAAGCTTCTACGATTTCCACAACGCTGTCGTCAACTAATCATCACCCTAGCACACCATCGATTAGTCTTTCGTCCACCACGGATATTTATGACCCGTTATTGAGTAGCAGTCAATACTCATTCGATCTCTTTAACATAGAAGATTCGGACTTCAAGATGTCATCCGAATTATCTCCAATGAACTGGGATAAGGTGGACTTTGCGACCTAGCCTCAATTATTCTCTTGCAATCCGGCGTTGTGTACTTAATTATCGGCAAGTAAAACAATCAAATATTTAATTCGAGAGAGAGAGAGAGAGAGAGAGAGAGAGAGAGAGAGAGAGAGAGAGAGAAAGAAAGAAAGAAAGAAAGAAAGAAAGAAAGAAGGAAAAAAAGAGAGAGAAAGAAAGAGAGAGAGAGAGACAAAGTCGGAACACTAGTGAGGTGCATTTTATATATATATAAATATATATTTATATATACATATATACACACACACACAAATATTTCGAAACTATATCAACATTATATTGAACGTACTTATATACGCGCGACCATAATTATTGATTAAGATCGAGGAATATCAAATTATGAGCCAGTTTTACGCAATTCAACGCGCGTTGTGACGTTTTTGATTTTTGAATAATAAATGCTAGCATCGTTCTTTTGGTCGACACGATCAATCCTTCTGCAGAAAAGACCCATTAATATCAAATATAGATTTAAGACGTTTTGAGTGTTTCTGCGACTTAAAATTCTCGATTAAATAACAAATTTGCGCGTACTGTAGCAAATTTCCTTGCAAAAAAGAAAAAAGACGACAGAGTTCCAGAATTGAAATTACCTGCGACACTTTCAAAATTCTCCAAAGAATGAGTCTACGACGCGATTTAAAGTTAGTTTTTGTCCAGTCGTGTGTTGCTTGTGAGTTTTAATAACTATGAGATATAGCATGTGTGTCAAAAAGCAAGAGACGAGAAACGTATATATGATCTTGCATATATATCATCAGCGTATATATATGATCCTCTCGTAAGTAATCTTTTTGGTCGTAAGTTTCCCGGTCTCCTATCCTTTTCCTCAAATCATAATCGTAACATAACCACATAATATTATATATATATATATACATACATACATATATATATATATATACTTACAGAATCTAATATAATGCATAATAGTTATTGTAAAGAAATCTTACATATATACATATATTGACGCATTATACGTAAACATTTATGTAAAATATTTCTACATATGCGCCTGATGTCTGCGAGTCGAGTAACGTTTCAGATACACGAGTTCAAGGACTTTTTAGCGCAGCTATACATATTTTCTAAGCCACAGAGCATGTGATGTTAGGAATTACTGCGTATTTTAATCGATAATATTATTATAATGAAGAGAGAAAAAATCGCGAAACGGCTGCGTGCGCAAGTATTACGTAACAATTGTGCACCGGAATCGATTTGCCACGGCGCGGTCCTTCGACTTTCTCCCGCGACTACTAATTTTTTTTTTTTTGTTGCTTTGTGACATTCCATGTTTCCAAACCAATTATAAACAAGAGAGATCGAATTCACGCCTGTCGCAACTATTACGCACGTCGCACGAGCGATTGCTACGCGAATCGAAGATTCTCGCTCCGAATTGTCTTCTGAGTTAATCTTTGAAGACCCAAGCGGCTTTGCATGTCGTCGTAACGACGAAGGACCACGCCGCTCGGTGACGGAAGAAAGAATTGTGTACATGTGAAAGATGCGAGCGTGTTTTGAAGAGCGCGAGTGTTTGCCTGAGAGAACGTAAGGAAACCTCGGATTAATCGTAACGAAAAAAAAGATCACAATATTTGTGATGAATAAATTTGAACAAGAGTTCAAAGAATGTTTAAATGATAGAGAAAAGTCTGACTGATTATTCTTTTTTTCACAGTAATGCGTGAAATTCTTTTCTACGTACTTCCTATTTTATCAGATATAAAATTTCTACTATTTATAATGCCTAAAATTTCTACTATTTATATAATCGTAGGAACATTACTCTATTCTATATACTAAAATTTATAAGATAAGTATACAGCTGTGTGTAGAATAAAGTTGTTACGATTGATTTCAGGAGTTTTCTTGCGTGTATGTATGTAATATGTGTTAATATGTTTATGGACAGCGATGGTGCTAATTGAAACCCCACAATATATAGATTAATTGTTCCTATAAAACATCACAATTGTTGTTTTTTTCTTCTTTAGAGAACCTCTTTTTTTGCATTACACAATGTTCCAAGTTTTCCCTCGCGACGACCGATGTGCCTCGAAGTGTCGATTTCCTGCGAGCTGTTCAGTTCCAAGCGGGACGTTGCGCGATATGTATCGAATGAGAGAAAGAGAGAATGTTATATATCTGTTATTAGTTCCGAATGAGAGTAAATTCTAGTAAGATATATTCCCACAATCATATTAACAAAACGGTATATTGGACCGCAATTATACATTTTTTCTAACTGCATTCACTAGAAAAGCAGCAAAAGAAACAAAATGCAACATTCCAAACATTACGCTCTACGGAGAATCCTAGACCTCGAGGTACAGCCATGTTCTGTATATGCGAGAATATGATAAAAAAAGAAATCAGAAACGGATGGAAATAATCTGCGTTATAATGCATTGTAATGCCGAATTTGTTGAGACACGCGTGGGAAGTAATTAAGTCAGACCTCATTGTACTTAATTCATTGCATTTAATTAAAGGAACCTGTTTCTGCCTTCACTCCTCGTTATCCTGAACGTTTAGAACTCTGGACCTATTCTGTGTAACTTCATAATGCATGCGTTACAAGTTACAGAATAGATTCACAAGTCGAAGAAACATTTCCTTTCTTTTTGTTATTAAGTTGATATATACACGTCGATTCTGTAATATATGTGTATATATACATATGTATGCATATATGTATGACAGAGTGTACATATATAATACATATATATGTACACTCTGTCATATTAATAGAATCAGCAAATTACTTTTGCTGATAAATAATTGCTTAAATATTTTATAAGTATTGTTATTTTCTTAGCGATTCTTAGACTATCAGTTATCCATAATACTACTCATCACGAAGATCGCTTTATAATCGTTTTATCGTAAGCGTTTTACTAACATTTGCATTTAAATTCTCGCTCCTGAGTCACTCTCCCCGCCGTTGTCTCTCGTGCTGTAAAATACTTTATGACGCTCCTGGTAATGACAAATATGTGACCCGAAATTTGAAGGATGTCTATCACGGAACATGGTATCGAAGTGAGGAAAAAGTGCCAAAAAGAGTATCTTTGCCACTACTTAGCATCACTTTTTTAAAAATCATCACTCATGTCACCATCCGTTGCCATGACAATAATGATTTTTATTCTTCTGTAAAAATTATTGTATATACATATATATAAAATATTAAAATGAGAGAAAAAGTATGTATACATGTGTGTTTTGCAACGACGACTGTAATAAATTTATTTAAAATAATCAACATACGCGATTATAATATTAAAAAAAAAGAATTGTCATAACAATGGCGCGTCTTTACTTTAATAATTGAACTTATGGTAAGCACCGTACTGCTGCTTAGCATCGCAATTATTTCAATTTCGAGTCGTTCATCATGATTCTGCGGATGATTGATCGATCTGTCAGGCTGTGCGAATCTGGTAGTCTGTCTTATGTGGTACGTCTGCGGTGTACGTGCGCATATAAATATATGTGTCTTTGTAACTTGCATTAGCAAGCGTGAGAATAATGTAAACGCAGCCAAACAAAAATGTGAAACACATAAACCGCATCTAGATTGTGTGTGTATATATATGTATATGTATATACACACACAGAGCTTTGTCGAGAGTATATATACATATATATATATATATACATATACATACATATATATGATATGTGTATATATATATATATATATGTATATATACAGGGTGTCCCAAAAATGTTACAAGTTCTTTTCTCAGAATCTAATAAAGATATCAACAAAGTGTTTTTTTTTTACATTAAATGGTTCAGTGGAGCTAATCTTCTAGTGTGTATCAGATGTTTTTGGAAGCAAATGCTATATGGGAAAGGGAGCCGCCCAACATTGTTTTAAACAGAAAGTGGTATTAATTATTTGTTATTTTGATAGTTGTTATCAAACTAAATAATATTTACTTGAACCATTTTTTTATTGTGCACAGTTGCGGAGATATCGCGAAAAATTTGTTGCAATGAGAAACATTGGCCGAAGTCCTATAAGGTGGACACCTCGATCACCGGATTTAACTCCCTTAGATTTCTTTTTATGGAATTACATAAAAGAGAAAGAGAGACAAAGTAATGGCAACTGTTTCTACAATTGCGGAAGAGATGAAAATAAGAATACGTAATAAAACGATGCGTGTGCATCGATACTCCTTTAATGTTATTAAATGTTCGAGCAAGTATTATGTAAAAGACTTAATAAGTGCTTGGAAATTCAAGGACATCATTTTGAACACTTAATAAAATGAAAATACTAACGATATTTTTCGTTTTATGCACAATAAAAAAAATAGTTCAAGTAAATGTTATTTAGTTTGATGACAGCTATTAAATAAACAAAACATTAATACCACTTTCCATTTAAAACAATGTTGGGCGACTCCTTTTCTCTTATAGCATTTGCTTTCAAAAAAATCTGTTATACACTAGAAGATTAGCCCCACTGAATCATTTAATTTAAAAAAAAATTTTTGTTGATATCTTTATTAGATTCTGAGAAAACAGCTTGTAACACTTTATTTGAGACACTCTGTATATATGTACAAACAAATCGCGCGATTGCATCAAGAGAAAACCATTGAGGGATACAATAACGTCGTACGCATGAAAACACATTTTGTATGAGCAATTGCGAGGAAGCGGTATATATGTAAGTTTTTTGTTATTAAGTATCATTGAATTTATTGTAATGATATACTCTTAAGTAATGATCACGTAATTATTGCTAGAGAGAGTGTTATTTATTTTTATTTGTTGCAACTTTATCAAGAAAGAGATTGCCTTCCATTTGAGTAAAATAAAAATAAATACAAAGTTATTCGCTAAGATGTCACTTCTTAGTCTTCTTTTCCTTTTGCTATGAGATTGTAAAACAATCTCATTCGTTTTTTTGAGTAGCAGAACTTCTTATTTGTGCTCTAACACATAAAATCAACTCAAAAGCCAATTCTTTGTACAACTGTACAATTGCCTCAATACAAATATTGATCAACTCAATTTTATATTGCTAAAATATTTACTTCGGTTGCGTTCGGGGAGCGCACT